CAGCTCAGTTCAAGCAAAGAAAATACAGAAAGTATGTGCTGAATTCTGATATTTTCCTACAGTAGTAGTTATATACACTTGGGAAAAGAGTAAATATTTTTAAACTATGTATATAAAGTTATAGTCATTAATAAAATAAATAAAGTTATACATATTAATAAAACTTATCCAATCTGCACTCTCGAAATGAGAGTACAAAGACTGCCACCTGGTGGTGCAAAGAGAAAACTTATTAATATGAACTTTTTAGATCACTTTAGTACAATTTGTTAATAATAGAAATGCACAATATGTGACTTTTTTTTAAAGCAATAATACATTTATGCAGTCATAAACATGTTTTGATAGTTAATATGACGGTGATTTGATGCTTCACAATAGTTGCAGACGCCTTTACCAATATCAAAATGCTTTTGTAAACAACCAGTTATTCTTTACACCGATTAAAAAACGGCTACTATAATAAAGAAAATCTTCTCTAAATGTAGAACTAAATACACTGATATGCATTGAAAATAGGGTTGGGCATCTAAGCTATAATGCCGATCTGATACGCATCTCGATACAAAGAATACGATCCGATATATTAGCGATACATTTGTGATATTGCGATGCAACACGATACGATTCACACCCATATCACGATACGATGCAATATTTCAGCACTAACTAATTAGATCAAGTTTATGAGATGATGTGAAAGAGGATGCTGTGCCATTGAATGAGTTTGATTATTTATTAACCAAGTAAAACCAAGACTTTTTTTACAAACTGGCTCTTCTCTCAGAGCCAGAGTGTCAGTTTACAGTAGAGGGCCATTTTAGAACATATAGCACATATTATTTAAGTATTTTCAAGATAAACAGAATGTATAAGTGCAATATATATTATAAATGTATATATTTGCACTCTTTCAACATAAATAAATTTAGCATTGCACAACAAGAATTGTGATTTAACTTTTCAACTATGAAAACAAGTTTTACAAAGATATATTTTGCCACTGATTATTCAAAACTTAAGGTGGTGAACTAGCAGTGTTATGCTGCTTTGAAACATCACTGTCACTGTAAACAACAGGCTAATATAAATATAACAAACCAGCAATCTTCTTGCTGTGAGGTGGTCAAACTACCCACTGTGCCACCGTGACACCCAATTATTTTTATCATTATTATTATTAATATTATTATTATTATAATTAAATAAAAATTAACAGGAGGAGGTGTTTAAAACATTCGTTCTCCGTGACACTAGGCTGAATATCTTTGCAGATGAACAATGCAGTAGCATTCGTTATTGGCGTAGAGCGCACAAAACTGTTGCGCATGGAAAAAAAAACTTTCAATGCTTTTCTCACCACTTTTGGAGCTGGTAGCTTCAGTTGAAGCAGAGCAGGAAGCCGGGGATGCAGGAACACTGGAAGATGCTTTCACAACAACACCGTGGCGCCGCTTCAAGTGAGATATCAGATTAGTCGTACTGCCCGCGTATTTTACAGATGCGCGACACATTTTGCAAATTGCATCTGTCCTGTCATGTCGTCCATCCTTAAATCCATAATGTTGCCATACTTTAGATTTAAAACTCAGTGGGGAATAAAATGTTTGTTTTGCTTCTCGCGCTTTCTGAGGGCGCTCCACTAGCTTCATCCGCACACCTGATACACTGAGTTGTAGTGTGTGCACATCCGCAAATCCGTTGCTAAGGCTTACTTTATGTAGGTCGATTAAATTATGCGCCAAAAACAGGTTGACAACACTTGCTAATAAATAAAAAATACATTCTATATTAAAAATATAAGCTGTATCTCGGAAAAATCGATGCATCTCGAAAAAACCGATGCATCTCGATTTGCTTCCAAAATTTCATTCATCCTCTGCTGCTCAACCGATGCACTCGCATCGTGCACGCGCATGACCGCGTATCGATACATATCGGTTAATCTTCCCATCCCTAATTGAAAAACATGATGAATAATCGACACATGAAAGTGTAAAGCCTGCAGTTCACAACAAATGTGGAAAGTTATTGCATTTACTGCTAATTTGATGTAATTTTGCTCACATGGATAATTGAACATTAATCAGATGATGTCATTACGCTGCTGTGCCGTCAGCCAATCGTTGCATTGCTGATCATGATTTCGAGGATGGATAGATCTGTCCTTCACAACACACACAGCGATCTCAGATCAGTTCATCCAGACATTCTAATCTGATTAACGAACTTGTTTAGAGAACCAAATTAGCGAGAGATCAGTTATCAAGATTAAAAGATCCAGGATCTGCCAAATCATCTTAGATCATTTAAGCGAGGTACGAAGAACGGACCCCAGGTGCTCCGGTTTCCTTATAATGGATTTCAATGGGGAGGAAACACTAAGCATGCTGATTGCACTCACTGAGCTCACAAGAGCTCACTCTGAAACTATTATGAGTAAATCCTGATAGAAATTTGGTTTTCCCTGGTTATTGTTTAGGTGCATTAAACCATGTTAAGCGTTTTCCTTATAGACTTCAGTGGGGGAGAAACAGCTTAATAATGCTCGCTCTTTACAGTGTTTACTGTTAATTACAGGTAAAGTGTGACAGAAATGTGGGTTTCTCTGCTTGTTTAGGGACATTAAGACACATGAAGTGTTTTATAATGTCTCCTTTAAATGAGTTAAATGATTGAGCTTGGGTTTGTGTCTTGATTTCAGTTGTGTTTATTGGTTTATAGTAATATGTTGTGTGATTTGTGTTTGTGTATTGGTTATTAAGCTGGACTTCTGATATAAACACTGATGTGAAGCAAATAAATCCTCAATAAAGTGCTTCAGTGACCCTACATTACATCTCTAGATTGTCTTTCATTTCATTTCAGCGCTTTGTGTTTTTCTTTCTGATCATTATGCTGTGACTATTTGAGGGACTTTTATTTTGACACTTCCTGTAGGCCCCATATAAAGAGGAAGGCCTGTGTGATTGTGGAGGGAAACACTGTTTGGACTGGAGCACTAGCTGTGTTTGTGAGCTGTTTCTGGACTTCTTTGACTCTTTCTCTTAGACTCTATTGATGGACAATAGACCTTTTACGCAAAAACTGGAAGTACGTCAACAACGTGTAAACCCAGTTCCGGTATGAGTTTTTTTGGCGGAGAAATGGCAGCTAGAGTGTTTTCGGCGAGCCTGAGTTGTCTTCCGAAGTTAATTAAATAAGTAATTAAATACATACAATTAACATAGGGGAGAGCAGGGCAGAACCTAACACAGGGCCAGTTGTAACACACTTGTTTTAAATACTTCCACACATGCATGATAAAGCTTAGTGTATTTACTACATGTCACAGCAATAATTTGTTTCATTGTTAAAAAAATTAATTTTATTTTTTTAGTTGAGTTTCGTGAACAGCTTATATTATTAACATTAATTTGTTCAGGTAGAAATGCATAACGGTACACATTGACTAGCATTAACTAAATACACTATGAACAATCTTACCTGCAGGTGGGATAGAGGTAAAGCTGGTTTTATATTTGCACATTCAGACTTTCCCCTTAACAAAATAATTTCTTTAAAGTATTATTTGCAAACTCTAACGAGCGAAATCATATTAGCAGCCAATGACTATCAAAGTACAGCATTATTCACAGTCAAATAACCAGCGTTAATGTTGTTTTCAAGTCATATTTGCATGCTAATTTCGATCGAATATTCAAAGTAACATGGTAAATAATAAAGAGACTTCTAAATGAACGAATGTGTGAATATAAAACCAACTTTACCTCAATGCAGGTGGGTGTGTCACGTAGTCGTGATCCATCCTTACTGCACCATGTCGCTATCTTCACACTGTTTAGACTGACGTTCTGTCATATACTGACTCCCTTCTCAAAGGAGCTGTAAAGTTGTTCCAAGGGAATAGGCTCGGGACAACACCACTCTTCAGGAGACGAATGATGCAGCCACCACTGTAATCATCCGGAGCGAAGTGCCGTGTGAAGTGTGTGTGTGTGTGTGTGTGTGTGTGTGTGTGTGTGTGTGTGTGTGTGTGTGTGTGTGTGTGTGTGTGTGTGTGTGTGTGTGTGTGTGTGTGTGTGTGTGTGTGTTTCTCAGTCTGACCGCTAGATGTCAGTGAAGCCGCGCTGAAGTCTCGATGAGGACTGAGATTAAACAGCAAACTCAGCATTTCCTCCCTCATTTAGACAATCCTGCAGAAATAAACACATTTCAGCCTTTACTCTTGCTTTATTGTTGGACTGGTGAATTTACAGCACTTTTATACTGGTTTCACGGCTCAATTTCTGCAATATCAGAGAGTTTTTAAAGCTATCGGCCTATTGGAGACAGTGAAAGTCAGGGAATTTCAGTCATGGAGAATAGTTTATTGTTTATTTGTCAGTTTCAGTTTGCATTTAAAAGACATTTATAGCTTTATTGTTGAGCAAATCTGCTGTGTCGAGGGTATTTTCAGCTCCATTATTGATTTGATGCTCATCAACTGGCAGTCACTGGAGTCAAATGCAGACACTGAACCTGTTAACTAAGGCTAAATATTCACTAAACCAGAGTTAATGTGTGTTTACCATGCTCAGCTGTGCTAACCCCTGATTAACTGTGCTTTTACAACACCAAACATAGTTTTACCATGGTATTTGTAGTAAAACTGTGCTGATAAAATGAGTCAATGTGGCAGAAAAACCTGCTTAGTGAAATGGACTATTAATAAAAGCTGGTGAATTGTTGTTATCAGTGAGTCTCAAACACACTCAGAAGAGCTGAAGAGTCTTAATGGAGCCTTTGTTATTATCGAGTGTCTCATCGTCATGTCTGCTCTTGAATCAGTGTTTTCAGCCTCTCATATCTTGGAGGAAATTTGCAGATAGAACCACGCCCCCTTTGATACGCTAGAGTCACTAGACACGCCCCTCTCTGCTGATTGGCTGAAGTGTGTTTTGGGACACTGTGGTCAAAAGTGTTTGGTGAAAGTCGCTCAGAGCATCTTTAAAGATCAACAGAAACACACAGTTGTCCACTATAAACTGGTGTAGTGTCAGGAAGACAAAGAGTGAGGCTGATCTGAGAGGAAGCTGCAGAAGCACAGGAAGAGCTGCTGCTGTTTAAACAAGAGCTCAACATATATATATATATATATATATATATATATATATAAAGCAGAAGACGAGTGTCAGACACACAGAATGGCTGATAGGAGTCCTCTGTTTCTGCTGCTCATCTTCTGGACACTCAGCACAGGTAAACACTGCTGCATTTACTCTGATGGACATTTACATTCACTCTTAGTCTGGACACTGCACACTGCCTTTCTTTAGTACAGACTTTAATCTGCTTTATTGATTAAGAGCAAGTGTTTGATCTGTATTGATCAAGTCCTTTATTATTGATAGTGTACAGCACATCCTTTATTATTCCTGACTGCACTCAAACTAAACAGTGTGCCTCAATATAATGCAGAACAGGTTCATGTCGTGTGTGTGTGTGTGTGTGTGTGTGTGTGTGTGTGTGTGTGTGTGTGTGTGTGTGTGTGTGTGTGTGTGTGTGTGTGTGTGTGTGTGTGAACAGATCTCTGATGGAGAAGCTTCATTCTGCTGCATTAGTACAAGAGAAACTTTGGATTCAGTCTGATGCTTTCTGCTCTCCAATGCTTGATCATTTCAGTTATTACAGGCTTCATATGTGCTGGAAATTTTTGAAAAGGCAGGAATTTATTTAGATAAAGTGCTTGAAAATGTAATTGATGTGTTTTCATAATGTTTCTTTCTAAATGTTTATTAGTTAACTAAAATAAAATAAATATTTTTGCTTTGTATAAAGTGTAAACTCTGGAGTCTTCATGTGTCTGTAGTGTGATCTGTCTGTCTGTTTTACTTGCATCCTTTAAATGAAAATAAAGATAAATGTAAGATGAGGGATTCATGAACTCTTGTGTGCTGTTGGGTCATTTTCATCCACTCTGGGCTGATTTTGAGTCTTAACTTGGCCACATAATTCTCTCTGTTTCAGCAAATTTGATGATTTTTTAGTGACATCTTATTTTAATACATATTTTGGGAAAATGCTTTAACAATCTTCAACAATACACTCTTGGTGCTGTTTTCTCCCCATTGACTTCCATTCTAATCACATGTGTTGATTGTAAAGCTTTGACAGCTATACTCCACTGTTTTACTTCACTGAACTCCATATAAAAGCCTGAAACTCTTCAGCACAGACATGTCTAAAGGGTTAATGCTGATAAACTGATGATCAACAATATAAATAAGTAATCTTCCTCTTCCCAATCAAGTGTGCCGCAAGCCTGCGTTTGAGTGAAGGTTTCGGTCGTTAGATCGCCCCCTGGGGGTTGGCTGCAGTACAAGTCATAAAGCCCGCCTCCTCCGTGTTAATGAAGGAGACTTGAGCCCAAATAAAAAATGATTACACTTGCAATAAAATGTCCTGAAAGATGGTTCTGGTGGATTAAGGCACTGGTTATTGTGCTGAAATAGGTGCAGATCTTCATTTTTGTAAACAGTTTGTTTTTAGCAGTAATTTAATGCTGGGCGTGTCATCGTGATTGACAGCTGTGATTGACAGTTTCTCAAAGCAGCGCCTCTGAGCTTCGGCAGGAGACTGAAGTGTTATTATTGGATTTCTGTGTTATTTTACCATGACAAAATGAGTTCAGCAGTAAACTACAGTTTCTGACATACATGATCTGGTGGAACACTGTTTATTCGCTAAGGTCAGGGCTTTTTTCGGGCTTTATTAGTTTGCTGATACACGCCTAACCACCCAGATAGCAAAACACACTCGGGCCAGTTCGGCTAGATTCTCGCCTGCCGGAGACTTACCCCTCAGAGCTCAGACTGACTACCTCTGCTGGACCTACTCCAGATGCCTGGACTCACTGCCCGATTCCAGCCCGAGTCAATCGAGCCAGATGCGGCGGCCGAGCGAGCCGGCGCTGCCGCATGCGAGCCAGAATCAGCCCGCGACGCCGCGAGTAGGTTATGCGCTGCGGCACGGAGCTGGCGCGATTGAATATATAAAACCCTCATATTTGTTAACGTTATTACATCCATTTGTGTTGATATGACAGCAAACGCATGCTGAGCAGTTCGGGGGGCGTGGTTGATTTTACATAAAGCGTTTGGTTGGAAGCTCGACTCCGCTAATTTTCGCGGCTCCTCCTCTGGATCCATCAGACAGTACTTCTGCGCATGTCTGGCTCCAATTTCAGCAGTCTTTTGCGACAGTTTGTGCCCGTCAAGCAGGCGTTTTGCCCTCAAGGCGTTCAATGGGAAAAGGGGCTGTCGCGTCGTCCATATTTTTTACAGTCATTGTTCCCAACAGGGAAAACCAGCAACAGTCACGAATGGATGGTTTTCTGCTGTCATGGACTTACAATCAACAAATGACATTATAATGGAAGATAAGGGGGAGAACAGCACCAACATAAGTGGGAGTAATTCTGAACAATACACAAGGGTCAAAGACACATTTAAGATGAGTAAATTACATCTAACAAAAGCAAATGACAGTAATTCAGTGTTGGGCTCGAGGCCAACATGACATCAAATGTTTCCTTAAAATACTATAATAAATAGCATCTGCTATAATGTGATGAAGTATAGACATGTAAATGTGTCATTTAGCACATTTGAAGTGCTGGAAAAGGGACCTGGAAAGTGCTTAAATTTGACTTTGTAAAAGGTGTATAGATTTGTTGATAAAATTAAGTTATTAATTAATCAGTTAATAATATATAGAACAGTGATCTCTCAGGTGTTGTGTGTTTCAGGTGTGTTTGGAGCAGGAGAGACTCATGTGTTCAGCAGATCTGGAGAAACTGTTCATCTGCCCTGTAGAAACACTGATCAACACTGCAGCACATCAGGAACTACATGGCTCTACAACAGTGGCAGACAGACCGTTGTGCTGATTATTTTAGGAGTAAAACAGACAAACTCAGAGAGACTGAATCTGGGCTCTGACTGCTCTCTGACCATCAGTAGAGTCACAACAGGAGATGCTGGACTTTACATCTGCACACAGCGTAGAGGAGACCAGAAACAAGGACCTGATTCAGTTGTGTTTCTGCATGTTGTTGCTGGTAATTTCCTCCTCATGTGTTCAGTTTAATCAGGGCTGAATTCTGTGTTTCAGCTCATGATTAGTGATTTGTGTCTTCTGTTCAGTTTCAGTCTCTCCATCATCATCATCATCATCATCATCTTCATCTGATATTGGTCCGGGTCTCTCTCTGACTCTCTCCTGTCGGCTGTTCATATATTCTGGATTCTCCTGTGGTGATTTGTTCAGATTAGTGGATCTTCATCTGTCCTGGGTGAATGAGGCTGGTGTTGATCTGAACACAGACTCCAGATATCAGATCTCTTCTACAGGCTGTATCATCAGTCTGTCTACAACACTCATCAGTGAAGATGAAGATAAACAGTGGAGATGTGGAGTCTATCAGAGAAATCAACTGAAGACCTCAGACACGTTTACTGTCCACTATTCAGGTCAGAGAATCATCCTTTATTCCTCATATCTTTTGCCAAAATGGTCAGAGTGTGAGTTTAGTGGAGTGTGATTGAGCTGAATGATCATCTCCATCATCTCTTACAGCTCCAGATCTCACAGCTAAAGCAGAGCCGACACCACAGACTGAAACAGCAGCAGACACAACTGAAGGTGGAGCAGTGTTCATCTCACATCACTGATTTACAGAGTTCAATACTGGAGATAACTAGTTCAGCTGTGATGTTCTGCAGTGTTTAATCTGATCTTCATCTTTTACAGCTGGAGCTCAAACAGCAGCAGCAGAGACTCCAGACCACAGCACAAACTCCACTTCTATAACAGGTACATGATGATGATGATGATGATGATGATGATGATGATGAGTGTGTGTGCTGTTCATGCTTGTCTTTTATTTTCTATTTGCATTTCTAAGGGTTTGACCACATGGTTGTTGGTGACTAGCAGGAATGCTACATTTCTGTTAACAATTATATCTCATTCTAGATCAGGGGTGCCCAAACTCAGTACTGGAGGGCCGGTGTCCAGCAAAGTTTAGCTTCATTTTAGGAACTATAATATGCAGGACACCGACCCTCCAGGACCGAGTTTGGACACTCCTGGTCTAGATAGTGTTGGGCAGAGCGAGGCGTTGTGAAACCCCGAGGTGTTTGGAGACCTGTCTCTACAGGGACATTCAGTGCTCATTTTCAGGGATTACTCTAAAACACTTGAAGAAGCAGTGAAGTGAGCGATCATGACCCATGTTGACTGAGGATATCAAGAGATTGATTGCAGTGGTTAATGCTCCTGACTGACATGCAGACACATCTGAGTCAAATCCACGGTGGAGCAACTATAGTCTATATTGAAGATCTATAATGTCTGTAATCTGACATGTGAATGAACTCTTAGTGACTAAATATGTGTTATATTGATCATCAAAGCATAAAGACATTAAGTCAACATTTCTGAATATCTGCACAAGCCTGCATTCACACTCGGGACACTGGACATACAAATGTCTTATTAAAAATCCACTAAATGAGTAAATCTGAGATCAGAAACACAAACTGTGAAGATCCACAAAGTCCAAACCCAGCAGGATCTTCTACAGCAGGTCTGATCTGTGTGTTGATCACTTCTGTGCTTTATAGTGGGCAATACTGGAGTTGTCTTGTGTGTTGACTAGTTCTACTGTGATTGTCATGTTGTCCAGTGTGATTTATCAGAGCTAATGTTGATGTTTTACAGCTAAAGCTGAAGCAGAGACATTCTGTGTGATTAAACAGCAGTGACTCCAGCGCTCTTCACAACACCAGCAGCAGCTTCAGCTCAGTCTACACACTCCTCTGCTCTTCTCTCCTGCACTGTACACAGATATCACACACATGGGGAATGTAGCCCTTTATTTGTTTTAAATATTTTCTTTGTTTTAGCTTAGATCCCTGTCAATTTTACACTGTTGTTTTATTTTGCACTGTCTGGAGTCAGCACCTGCGCTTTTCACTCATCATATACACGTGCTGCTGATGATGTGACAATACAAGTGATTTGATTTGTAGAGTTGGAGAATCATTGATCCATTAAAGATCATTAAAGATCATCACTGATTTTAGACCCTTTTTAAGTCCACCAGAGAAGAAGAATACTTGTGTTGCTGATCGCTTCAGCTCAGTGTAGTTTGATGAATCTGCTGTAAAATGGCAGATGAAGAGCTTTGTGGTGATTATTAAAGCACTGACAGTGGTCCACACTCAGTGCTCTACTTAGGGCCCCTAGAAGTCTAGCATCAGCTCTGAGACACAGTGTTAGTTTAATGCTGTTTGTTCTTCCTCTTTCTGTGTTTCTGCTTTGTTCTCAGAAAACCCCACGCCAGGAGTTTATATTGAGACACATATGTAGTCTGGTTTGCTGGAGCGTGTGAGTAAGTGTGTGGGTGAAACCAGTGTGGTAATAACTGATTTCAACACCCAAGAACAACAGGAGTAAACCACAAGAGTGAGATCACAGCTCTGAAAATCTAATGCAAATTTAATGCACAATATCAGGATAATGTGCTTAATAATCACAAAATATGTATAAAACTATAAAACAGCAAAGAATAAACATGTTTAAATCAGATTAAGTGCATGAAAAGAGTTTTAAAAGACTGTAAAAGCACATATAAACAGTGTCAGTCAGCTCACTCGTCATCATTTACTCTAAACACAGAGCTGAAACTACCATAGAGAAGGAGCACACTGTGCTTTAATGAGCTTTATGGGTTCATTCTTCAGATAATATTAGTGAAGGTTACAGAAGAACAAGCACTGAAAACCCTCATGTGTTAAACAATTAGGTAAAGTTGACTGAACATTACTTACAATTTAGCAGTTTGGTCCAATCAACTTAAAAAATGAGTTAATTTAATTTATGTACCATGAAAATGTATAAACTTAAGATTTCAAGTGTAGTGAACTCAAAATCATGATTAATCAGTGATCTTTTTTGATGTTTATCTTAAGGAAAAGCGCGTCATCCAACAGCTCAGACATTTTGTGTTTTGTTTTGAGAAAAGTTTTAAAGACATTGGGGGTTTCTTAACTTTATTTTGGGACATTATTCTCTAATTCAACATATTTTCCATCAAAGAAATAAACTGTATATATGCATAATCAACTAAAATAATAAACTGTCAGTGATTTGGAGTAAAATAAACATTGAGTGTGTTGAAATGTGTTGATCTGCTTTTGTGCTGATTTAAGGACTTGCAGATAATGGAGGAATGAATCTTCATAATGATGGTGTCCAAAACATCCACTCTTATTCAGACAGCACCAATACACTTTCCAACACTCAGTTATCTGGACAATAAGGAAGTGCTCAGCCTGAGCTTAAACCACAAGATTTCCCAACCAGGACTTCACAATACAAACAGTGTGAAGTAGCTCCAAGAAACCAAGCTCTCAACCACAACTGAGTCTATTCTTCATTCACCCATATATAGACACACACACACACACACACACACACACACACACACACTGAAAACCCCAATGAGTTGACTGAACTAAATTAACTGAGTAAACTCATTGCCTCAATTTAATTGAGTAATGGAGTCTCCCAAAACTTGCATATTAAAGTTTATTTAACTTGCCGGTTGTGTCGACTATACCTAAACTGTTCAGTTCACCAAACTTGTCCACTATAAACTGGTGTAGTGTCAGGAAGACAAAGAGTGAGGCTGATCTGAGAGGAAGCTGCAGAAGCACAGGAAGAGCTGCTGCTGTTTAAACAAGAGCTCAACATATATATATATATATATATAAAGCAGAAGACGAGTGTCAGACACACAGAATGGCTGATAGGAGTCCTCTGTTTCTGCTGCTCATCTTCTGGACACTCAGCACAGGTAAACACTGCTGTTCATCATCTACAAGATTATAAACTCAGCACTTCAGCTCATTATTCTGGCTGTTTTAGGAGGCTGTGATGTTTGCAGTAATGGATTGTGAGTCAGTGTGTGACTCTGGACCTCAGTGTTTTATAATGTAGCGGCAGGTTTTGGGCAACATTTAGAGAGTCATTGATTGGGTCAAAATGATTGAGTTTATGTCATGAAGATATTTAAAATCTAGTTCTAATCTTATATTTTTGTGAGTAATTTGCATTTCTACACATTTTATTTTGACACTGTAAAGGTGATTTCCTCAATATTTAGATGTTTGGATCTCTCAGACTCCAGATTTTGAATCAGTTGTTTCTTGGGCAAATGTCCTATTATAACTAAGAACACATCAATGTAAAGTTGAATGAAGAAATGATTCAGCTTTCAGATGACGTATAAATCTCATTTTAATCAATTAGACTGATATGACTGGTGTTGTGGTCCAGCAGCACAAATGTCTTTAAACTCTGCTGCAGTGTTCTGTATATTTTAAAAGATTTAGAAAGTGAACAAAACCCCTGTATTTAACATTTACAGTGTTCATATTTACAATATTTACAATAGTTTATATGATGGTGTATTTCTAAAAGTATTTTCATTTTGGAGAAAAATGATAAGCACTAAAATGTCTACTGAATGTAATTAAAGGTTAAATAACATCTTTATTTGCTGTTTTTATTTGTTATCATGCAGTGAATTATGACATTTAATATTATGTGTTTCAGGTGTGTTTATAGCAGGAGAGACTCGTGTGTTCAGCAGATCTGGAGAAACTGTTCATCTGCCCTGTAGAAACACTGATCAACACTGCAACACATCAGAAACTACATGGCTCAACAGCAGTTACAGACAGACAGCAGCAGTGGCAATGTTTACTTTAGGGGTGAAGCAGACAAACTCAGAGAGACTGAATCTGGGCTCTGACTGCTCTCTGATCATCAGTAGAGTCACAACAGAAGATGCTGGACTTTACACCTGTCAACAGTGGAGTGGAAACCAACAACAAGGACCTGATTCACGTGTGTTTCTGCATGTTGTTGCTGGTAATTTCCTGCTCATGTGTTCAGTTTAATCAGGGCTGAATTCTGTGTTTCAGCTCATGATTAGTGATTTGTGTCTTCTGTTCACTTTCAGTCTCTTCATCATCTTCATCATCATCTTCATCTGATATTGGTCCGGGTCTCTCTCTGACTCTCTCCTGTCGGCTGTATTCAGATGCTGGACTCTCCTGTGATGATTTGTTCAGATCTCAGCATTTTCGTCTGTCCTGGGTGAATGAGGCTGGTGTTGATCTGAACACAGACTCCAGATATCAGATCTCTTCTACAGGCTGTATCATCAGTCTGTCTACAACACTCATCAGTGAAGATGAAGATAAACAGTGGAGATGTGGAGTCTATCAGAGAAATCAACTGAAGACCTCAGACACGTTTACTGTCCACTATTCAGGTCAGAACATCAGACACTTTAACACTCACATTAACATCACTGAACCACAGTAAACCTGACAGAAGAGTCACTCTACCCTAGTAGCAAAGAATTCTGGTCCAGATTTTGCAAGAAGCTGGCACAGTAGGCATTCATCCGGCACTGGTATACAGCATGTGGGCCAAACATGGCCCGGGTTTGGCAGAGGCGGCACCGTCTTTAAGGCGGCACACAAGATCTGGGTCAGATGAAAAACGTAGTATTTGGCCCAGAATTAAAAATTTGAAAGTGGGCCATGTGAGTTTGGCCAGTCTTGACCCACATTTAAAAAACACTAAACTCATTTTTGAGTAAAAAATAATTCTATCAATCAGGTCACTTTGAGAAAAAGCGTGCCCATAGTGTGCCTAAAGCGCATCACTCCATGGGTTTATCAATTTCATTGCAATCGTGACACACCAACCTATCTGGCCCAGTTCAGACCCAGTTATGAGTTATTAACTTGGCTGAGACTTGGCCCAGATATGGTCCGTGTTTGGCCCTTGTCTGGAAGCCAGATTTGGTCCAGTCATGTACCGTAATTCACTGCGGCATGTGGGCCAAGCAAAACCTGATTGTGTGGGCCAGAGCTGGGCCAGAGAAATTTTGCTATGTGGGTAAGTGTTAATGAAAATACCTTATTTAAGTAATTTTTTTTAGTTAAAATCTAAAGTAATAGTTTAGTTTAAATGTATTAGTTATGGGGTGGGATGGGGGGGGGGGGGGGGTAATAATAGAGAAGGGTCTGTCTCTGGCACATGCACTCTCAGATAAGCACACATTTAATACATTCTGTCCCGAGCATCTGTCACTCTGACCCGTGTCATTGATACATATTTCCAGCCCTGAGTCTGTTTATAACAGCTGATATTCTATCTTTAATTTAATGATAAAATCTGAATACTCTATATTAGCCTTCATATTGATCTTGATATTCAGTAAAAGTGTTTTTATGTATTCAGATTAAACTCTGTACATTACAGTTGTAAACTGAAGCTGCTGTTGTTGTGAATATATATACGCTCTGTTTATATCAGCTTACATTTACACATTTACTCTAACTAAAGAACACTGGCAGCATGTGTTTCTCATTACCCATACTGTAAAACCTGGTCAAAAGACTGAAGGCCACAACACATCTCTGCTGGTCTCTTTTGTTGAGTTTAATTATAGTTTAGCCTAGATTATATACAGTATAGGTTACTCTGGTCACTTTTTTTAACGAGACATTTACTCAGTTTGTTTTGTTTTACAGCCGCAGATCTGCCAAATACAGCAGAGCCAAAACACGAGAATCCACAAGCAGAAACAGCAGCAGCAGACACAACTGAAGGTGGAGCAGTGTTTCTCTCACATCACTGCACAATACTAGAGTTATAGTGTGTGTTGATGAGTTATTAAACTGATGTTCTGCTGCTGTATGATTCATATTCACCTTCATCTTCTACATCTGAAGCTAAAACAACACCAGCAGTGACTCCTGACCACAACACAAACACAACAATGAAAAAACCCATGAACAGTGTCTCACATCAGAGCTGTATTTATGAGTTTATTATGCATTATAATGAGTTATTATGAATGTTTATGAGTTATCTCAATTGTTTTTGACTAAATAAACTATGACTGACCTATATTCATTAGCCTTATTTGGTAACGTTCATCTTTTACAGCTAAAAGAACAGCAGCAGCAGCAGCAGCAGTGACTCCACTTCACAACACAAACCCTAAAACAAACAAACCCAGAGCTGCTTCACCTGGGCTCCGTTCTTCGTACCTCGCTTAAATGATCTAAGATGATTTGGCAGATCTTGATAACTGATCTCTCGCTAATTTGGTTCTTCAAGCAAGTTCGTGAATCAGATTAGAATGTCTGGATGAACTGATCTGAGATCTGTGTGTGTTGTGAAGGACAGATCTATCCATCCTCGAAATCATGATCAGCAATGCAGCGATTGGCTGACGGCACAGCAGCGTAATGACATCATCTAATTAATATTCAATTATCCATGTCAGCAAAATTACATCAAATAAGCAGTAAACGGTTTGTTAAATATGAGATGCAATAACTTTACACCTTGTTGTGGGCTGCATGCTTGGCTCTTTCATGTGTCGAGAGCAATTTAGTTTTACAGTTAGAGCGGATTTTCCTTACTAAAGTAGTATTATAGTAGCCGTTTTTTTAATCGGTGTAAATAATAACTGGATACAAAAGCATTTTGATGTTGGTAAAGGTGTCTGCAACCTTTGTGAAGCATCAAATCACCGACATATTAACTGTCAAAACATGTTCATGACTGCATAAATGTATTATTGCTTTTAAAGTCACATATTGTGCATTTCTATTATACACAAATTGTACTAAAGCGATCTAAAAAGTTCATATTAATAAGTTTTCTCTAAGTCTTTGTCCTTTCATTTCGAGGGTGGAGATTGCATAAGTTTATTAATATATAAGTTAAAAGTTAATGCATAAGTAATAATATATATATATATATATATATATATATATATATATATATATATATATATATATATATATATATAACTTTATTTATTTTATTAATAACTATAACTTTATATATATAGTTAAAAATATTTACCATTTTCCCAACTGTATATAACTAGTAATGTAGAAAATATCAGAATTCAGCACATACTTTCTGTGTTATCTGTGCTGGAACTGACCCGATCTAATCCTGTTTATGTGAATTGAGCCTGCTCCCGACCAGGAATGAGCAAGAAGAACTGTTGCTATGACAACAACTCTAGGATCAGCTTTGAAGAACGAAACGATCCTGGATCTTGTCAAATCGTCAATATCCAAATCCAGCTAACTGAGTAATCCACGTACGAAGAACAGACCCCAGGTCTGAACACTGTCTGACAGACATCAGTGCTTTATTATGAGTTTATTATAAGTATTTATGAGTTATCTGGAGTGTTTTTGATTAATTAAAGTATGAAAGACTAATCTGAATCAATAATGTTCATCTTTTACAGCTGCAGCTAAAACAGCAGCCCTGACTCCAACAAACACAACTATACAACCAGCAGGAGCCTCAATAACAACAGTTCCCCTTCGGGGGGAACTCCAGCACTATAAGTGGATTTGATGTTAAAAGGTGTGCGGCATATGCAATCAACTGAGTATATAAGCACGCCTGGCGCCAGCAGACGCTATCCTTTTCGCTTCAGAGCCTTTTCTGATCGAGCTTATGAGGGTTCCTCCTGCTGATCTACAGCCATTTCGAGAGAACGATTTCATCCCGGTCCAGAGCGAGTCCACGCAGCGGCAGACGGTCGAGCTGGGTATCTCCCTTGCCTGGCGTCCCTTTGGGTCCGGTCCTCCAAGAGCGGTGCGTATTGTTGCAAATCCTAAAAGAGCAACACAGTCGTGCAGCACGTCCTTTTCAGGATGGCGCTCCGACTGTGCGTTTCTGGTTGCGGGGGTTTCCTGGCTCCGGATGATGGACACGATCACTTCATTACATGTTTGGGGGTCCAGCATGTTAATGTGGTGCTCGGGGGCGGTTCATGTCGTCACTGCGATGCCATGACCGTTGCGCAGTTGAGATCGCGGTTAGCTTTCGTAAGAGAGCGAGCCACCCCAGTTGCCTCCTGCTCTGCAGCGGGCGCTCGGGCAGATCTGAGGGCTTCAGCGAGAGACAATCCGCCGCCCAAGGGCTCGCGGACCTCTCGCTCCTCCAAGCGCTCCATCCAAGCTTCAGGTACTGGGAGTGATCCGTCTAATCAGATGGTAGCTCTCACGCTCGCTGACACCGGAGATCAGATGTCCTTCGCGGCATCGGAGGGTGGGCTTTCATTGTCCGACGATGATCCGGACCCGCTCGCCCCCTCTGGGCAAGCGAGCGCCGTCAAAATGGATCCTGAAGCGGACATGTTGGCTGTGCTTTCTTGGGCTGCTTCGGCCGTCGGGTTGGAGATGGTTCATCCCCCAGCCCCGCGGCCGGACCGACTAGATGGGTGTTACGTAGAGGATCAGAAGGCGAAGCCTTCGAAGCCTCTCGTCCCCTTCTTCCCGGAAGTGCACAGTAGGCTCACGCAGTCCTGGAGGGCACCTTTCTCTGCCCGCGCTGCATCCGCCTCCGCCCTCACCACCCTGGATGGTGGAGCTGCCAGGGGGTATGAGGCGATCCCGCAGGTGGACCGCGCCATTGCGGTCAATCTTTGTCCGCGTGGTGCCCCCGCTTTGCGTGGTCCGCCCCGTCTCCCGTCCAAAGCCTGTAAGTTTTCTGCCTCCCTCGGAGCTAGAGCTTACAAGGCTGCGGGCCAGGCAGCTTCCGCCTTGCATGCGATGGCCACCTACCAGCGCTACCAAGCGCAGGCGCTGGCCGAGCTGCACGAGGGTGGGTCTAACCCAGGCTTGTTACACGAGCTGCGTACGGCGACCGACTATGCTCTCCGGACCACTAAGTCCGCCGCCTGCGCACTGGGGAGGACGATGTCCACACTTGTGGTACAGGAACGCCACCTCTGGCTAAACCTGGCAGACATGCGCGATGTCGACAAAGTTCGCTTTCTTGACGCGCCCATATTCCAGGCTGGCCTGTTCAGCGACACCGTCGGTGAATTCACCCAGGAGTTCAAGGCGGTGAAGAAGCAGTCGGATGCGATGGACAAAGTCATCTATCGGCGGGGCGGTAAGCCCGCTCCATCCCCGGCCGAGCCATCCACCTCCGCTGCTCCTCGCCGAGGGTGCCCGCCAACGGCCGATGCCCCGCCCCCACCTCCGCCTCCGGCGAAGCGGGCGCGTCGAGCATGCCGGAAGCCGGTAGCCCCTCCTGCCCAGGGCGCCGCTAAGTCCGGTAAACGGACCGCGAAGGGTCCCTGAGACAGGCCATGCGGAGAAGAGGAGTCTTGCTCTTTCCCCGCTGGAGGACGGGGCCCAAATTCCAACGGTACTTTTCAGTTCCACCAAAGTTTCGATCAAAGAGCATTTTCTCCCTTCCCCGGATGTGACAGCTCAAGCCCCGCCAGTCTGGGACGCGCTGCCTCTTAGCTCGCAGGGCTTGCATGCTCCGCCAGCAGCTCTCGGGCGCTGGGGGGATGGTCTCCCTTCTCTCAGCCCCCAAGCCCCCTCTCAGGAGTCAGGGTGCGGAGCCAGAGTGAAACGCTCTCCTCCAGCTCCTCTATGGGACCCTCGCGCTCCCCGGATCAGCACACCCGCTCCTCGCTGCCCCTCCGCGGGTACGTCAACGATTGCTGCGATGACGTCATTAGCGAGGGCTCTGCCTGCCTGGTTAGCGTGGGCCAGCCCCTCGCGATGGCTCATACGCACGAGCAGACTCGGCTACGAACTACAGTTCTCCAAACGGCCTCCCAGGTTCACGGGCGTGTATTTCAGCAGGGTCAATCCCCTGTCCGCCCCTGTCTTGCGAGAGGAGATTGCTGCCCTCCTGGCGAAGGGTGCAATCGAGCCGGTACCTCAAGCCGAGATGGAGAGCGGGTTTTACAGCCCGTACTTCATCGTACCCAAAAAGAGCGGTGGGTCACGGCCAATCCTAGATCTGCGCGTTTTGAATCGCTGCCTTCACAAGCTGTCGTTCAGAATGCTTACGCAGAGGCGCATCCTCCGATGCGTTCGTCCTCAGCATTGGTTTGCAGCCATAGACCTGAAGGACGCGTATTTTCATGTATCCATTCTTCCACGCCACCGTCAGTTTCTGCGGTTTGCGTTCGAAGGTCGAGCATGGCAGTACAAGGTCCTCCCCTTCGGGCTCTCTCTGTCTCCGTGTGTCTTCACCAAACTCTGCGGCTTGCGGGCATCCACGTACTCAATTATCTCGACGACTGGCTGATTTTAGCCCACTCTCGGGAGCAATTGACTGCGCACAGAGATGAGGTGCTCCAGCATCTCCGCCTACTGGGGTTGCAGGTCAACTGGGAAAAGAGCAAACTCGCCCCGGTGCAGAGGATCTCTTTTCTTGGGATGGAGCTGGACTCGGTCACCATGGTAGCGCGCCTCTCCGGAGAGCGCGCTCGCCTGCTGCTGAACTGTCTGAGGGAGCTCGACAGCAAGTTGGTGGTCCCACTGAAATATTTTCAGAGGTTCCTGGGGCATATGGCTTCCGCTGCGGCTGTCACGCCGCTCGGATTGCTCCATATGAGACCACTTCAGCACTGGCTTCAAGATCGAGTTCCGAGACGCGCATGGCATGCGGGTACACACCGAGTCTCTGTTACTGCGCTGTGTCGCCGCACCCTCAGCCCCTGGAACGACCCCTCGTTCCTGCAGGCCGGTGTGCCTCTGGGACAGGCGTCCAGTCATGTTGTTGTTTCGACAGATGCTTCCAGCACAGGCTGGGGAGCCGTGTGTCGCGAGCATGCAGCTGCGGGCCTGTGGGTAGGTGCCCAGCTGCATTGGCACATCAATCGCCTAGAGCTGTTGGCAGTGTTCCTTGCTCTCCGCTGTTTTTTTCCGGCGCTGGAGCAGCAACACGTGCTGGTCAGGATGGACAGTACGGCGGCGGCGGCGTATATCAACCGCATGGGGGGTATGCGCTCTCGCCGCATGTCTCAGCTCGCCCGCCGTCTGCTCCTCTGGAGTCATCCGCGGCTGAAGTCGCTGCGCGCCATTCACATCCCAGGTATGCTCAACCGTGCAGCCGATGTGCTCTCACGGCAGCAGATTCACTCTGGAGAATGGAGACTCCACCCCGAGTCTGTCCAGCTGATATGGGCGCGATTCGGGAAGGCCCAGATCGATCTGTTTGCTTCCCCCGAGAACGCTCATTGCCACTTGTTTTATTCCCTGACCGAGGGCTCTCTCGGCACGTATGCACTGGCCCACAGCTGGCCTCGGGGCATACGCAAGTATGCGTTTCCCCCAGTGAGCCTGATCGCGCAGTTAATGTGCAAGGTCAGGGAGGACGAGGAGCAGGTTTTGTTAGTTGCGCCCCTCTGGCCCTACCGGACCTGGATATCAGAGCTCTCCCTCCTCGCGACGGCCCTCCCTTGGCAGATCCCTTTGAGAGAGGACCTACTTTCTCAGGGACAAGGCACCGTCTGGCACCCTCGTCCCGATCTCTGGAACCTCCACGTGTGGTTCATAGACGCGAGGAAGACTTAGGTAACCTGCCGCCCGCGGTGGTTGATACCATCACTCAGGCTAGAGCCCCCTCTACGAGGCGCGCCTAAGCCCTGAAGTGGAGTCTATTCACTGAGTGGTGTGTCTCTCGCAGAGAAGACCCCCGATCTTGCCAGATCAGTGTTGTGCTCTCTTTCCTTCAAGAGAAGCTGGACAGTAGGCTGTCACCCTACACTCTCAGGGTTTACGTTGCTGCTATCTCCGCTCACCATGACGCGGTGGCTGGCGGCACCGTAAGAAAGCATAACCTCATCATCCGGTTCCTCAGAGGCGCTAGGCGAATTAATCCAACTCGCCCCTCTCTCACGCCCTCTTGGGATCTCGCCCTCGTTCTCACAAGCCTGCGATTTGATCCCTTCGAGCCACTCGATACAGTATCTTTAAGATTTCTGTCCCTGAAGACAGCTCTGCTGGTCGCGTTGGCCTCCATTAAGAGGGTCCGGGACCTGGAGGCATTTTCGGTCAGTGACTCGTGCCTGGAATTCGGGCCTGGATTTTCTCACGTTATCCTGAGACCCCGCCCGGGTTATGTGCCCAAAGTTCCTACCACTCCCTTTAGAGATCAGGTAGTAACTCTGCAAGCGCTGCCCCCGGAGGAGGCAGACCCAGCCCTGTCCTTACTTTGTCCAGTTCGCGCTCTGCGCATTTATGTGGACCGTACTCAGAACTTTAGATCTTCTGAGCAGCTCTTTGTCTGTTATGGCGGACGGCAGCAGGGAAGTGCCGTGTCTAAACAACGTTTATCCCACTGGATTGTGGAGGCCATTACATGTGCTTATTTGAGCAGAGGTCAGCCGCGCCCCCCGGGAGTGCATGCGCACTCCACTCGGAGCGTTGCATCCTCTTGGGCGTGTGTGCGTGGCGCTTCTTTAACAGACATTGTAGAGCTGCGGGCTGGGCGACACCCAACACATTTGCAAGATTTTATAATCTGCGAGTGGAGCCGGTTTCCTCAAGGGTGTTAGGTACCTTTGGTGATTGAGGAAACAACTCGGTAGGTGTTGTACACGCTTGCAGTGCCTTTTTTCCCTAACACGGAGACATGTGCACCCTCCTGTCTGTCAGTAAGTTCCCCATACGGTGAGCCCTGCAGATTCCTCCGAGGCCCCCAGCACTGACTCAGCGGAGGAGTCACTTGCTGGCCCATTACGTAGTAGGTCTGCCCGCTGGTCAGCCCGAGTTTTGGGTATAGGTGCCTGCTATGGCCGATCCCCGCTGGTGATCCCCATATGCTTTTCCGCCACGGTTAAGTTCCCCCCCTGGGCGGACCCGTGCTTTCCCTATCCGCTAACCACCTTCTTATGCGCACTCCCCCTTCTCAGGGTTAGTCCATATGTAATTCCATATGTTCCCTCTATTGGGTGCGGATGGTCTCCGCAGCGTCCTCCCTACTGGGATGGCACGCTTCCCAACGTACTGACGTATTTCCTAGAATTATCTAGACGCTAGCGACTCCCAAAAAAGATACCTATTCCGTAAAACTTCTTTTGAAGTGGGATAAGTAAGGGCCAAGGGCATGTTGGAGGACCTCGCCTCTCATGATCTGGGTGTGTCACGCTTGCCTGACCGCTCTCTCATGGTGGGTGTTGGTAAGGTGCAGTCATTATGGCGCTTTTTAATGGGCTCCCATACGTGGATTTAGAACATCAAATCCACTTATAGTGCTGGAGTTCCCCCCGAAGGGGAACGTTCGAGGTTACTAAAGTAACCCTTCGTTCCCCGAGGAGGGGAACGGAAGCACTATACTCCGTCGCCATAATGACTGTCCCTTAGCTGTTAAAAGTCTCTTCAGCTTAAAAAGGATAGCGTCTGCTGGCGCCAGGTGTGCTTATATACTCAGTTGATTGCATATGCCGCACACCTGCGCAGGCTTGCGCTGCCAATTCATTCTTAATTGTTCAATACTCTTACAGATGAGTAGCTTCTGAACCGAACCTCCCATACGTGGATTTAGAACATCAAATCCACTTATAGTGCTTCCGTTCCCCTCCTCGGGGAACGAAGGGTTACTTTAGTAACCTCGAACGGTACATGATGATGATGATGATGATGATGATGATGATGATGTAATTGAGGATGTTACTCCCATAATTAAACAAAATCTGCATTAGGAGTCATTTACCTCAAGGATATTAACAATATAGATGAAGATGCTGATAATGTTTACATTCAGAACGAGATTAACAGAGAGAGAGAGAGAGAGAGAGAGAGAGAGAGAGTGTGTGTTGCCTATATATGCATGACTGAGGACATCTGCTGGCCATGCGGGAGACTCAGTCTTCAGTGTTGAGTTAGTGTGTTGTAGTCCTGAATGGTCTTTATCTGACTGAGTGCTTCTGTTGTTCAGTGCTTTCAGTTCTGCTTTCTGCTGCTGCTTTGGCTGTTTTCATCGCTGCTGTTCTGTGTTTGATCCAGCGCAGAAGAAGAGCTGGTGAGTCTCACATTTACTCCAATAGGCCTTTTTCACACTTCCTGGTTCCGGTAAGCGAAGCAGTGTACCACAACATCCGGTTTCAATGCGACGGACCAAGAAAGAATGGCAGGTTCATCTCATCGCTGTGATTGCTGCGTTCCCAGCTGATCCAACTCAAAAACGACACTCTTACTTTAATGACCACGATCTCCCGAAAGACGAAGGACAGGGAAAATCATGGATGACAATATTAAAAGGGGTTGAATGCCGTTTCAAGTTATATGTGTATGGGAGTACACTCGTATGCTGTATGCACTTCAAAGCGGAGATTATTATGTTTCAATAAAGATTGGTGGTCTGTGGTTTATTTTGATGAGTAACTATAATATAGACAAAACTCCAGTTAAGCTATCTGCCTTCCACAAACAACTGCTCATCATGGTCATTAATCTATAAGCATGATTTATCCCTACATTGTTGTTATTTTGGAATAGACAGTTCATACAAATGCAAATCTCTTTTTTTTAATTGGTTTGACAGCAAAATTATTTGTTTAGTCAGTTATATAATAAAGATAGTATACTTTTCTTACAATGAAGTCCTTTATTACAAAATCTCAATAACCCAGCAAGTTTTCAACAGTTATTGGTTCAATTCCTTCATAGACATGTTATTCATATATGTTATTTAGAGGTATTAATAAGACCATCCTTCTGATGCATCGTCTTTTGATATTACTAAATCTTATGTCGGCAAATTTTGTTTTACTAAATACCAAGAGTAATGATAGAGCTATTCATACTCTTTTCCAAAAAGAAATCATTACTGTACCTTATATTCAATTTTATTATATGTCTTTATTAAAGGGTGAATTGAAGAAAAGTGTGGCTGTTACCACAGAAATATCATGTTAGAAATAGAATTAAAGAAATATCCTATAAACTCATCCACAGGTTTTATCCAGCAAACGTTTGCAAAAATTTAAAAGTGGGATTGATGTAAATTGTATTTTTGTAACGAATATAAGGAGACAGTTTTACACTTATTTTGGCATTGTACATAGTCAGCTTATGGGGTGAGTTGCAAAATGTATTAATAACGATTCTTTTGTGTTCAAAACCTCTTTCATTATGGATAAATGTACATTTGGGCTTTACTTGATTATCCTAATCTAGAGGAAAATAGTTTTATTTATTTTATTTGCTTATGTTGTTAACAAAATTGTACATTCATAAATGTAAATTTACTAATATGAAACCAGATTTTAAGGTATTGATGACTGAAATATGCTTGTATAATGCTAGTATCAACTCTCTAAACAAGAAAGCCCGACCCACTTTAAAATGTGTGAACTCTACAATGTATTTCATTATTACATATGTTATATTACATTTTGTATATTTGTATTTTATTTATTATTACCCCCTGGTATGTACATTTTTGTATTGTAAAATGTTATTTTCTGTTCTTTAAATAAATAATAAAAATGAATATTATCCACGAGTAGGAGCTAACGTGTTTCCAGACTTGAGAAAACCTTACGAGGATTAAACAACCTGTAATGTATTAACCGATAGCAACTCGCCTGTACAGCTAACTTACCTCGCCATTCACTATATCTGACTCTGATTAAAAGGAAGGAAGGGGTTAGCACAGTTTACAGACGGGACTACTGACAAAACTCATCCTGCTGGATGTTAAATAGCCAGGTTAATCTAGTTTTGAATGGCTTGAATGAGCAGAATTTATGCTGTTGGCTGTGCACCTTACTGGAACCTGACGTGGCAAACGCTGTGTAAGACACATTTTCTGCACAAACTCTGCAAATCGGTATCATCTTTTAAATGCTGTTTTATTAAGGCAGTTTTACACATTCACCGAACAACATCTTCCTGTCCAAATTATGGCAAAGTTGACCGTGAGAAAGTCATCCGCTGTCCCGAGGCTGTCATGTCTCTGCGACTCCTAGCGAACCCGGAAATATCGATACACTGCTTCGAAGGGCGCTTCCGGTGTTCAATTCCGCTGTGAAAAAGGTCTATTACAAACACTTGACTTTAATGAGCAGAAAACAAGAGCAACATTCCTGATCCCTGAGCAAACAACAAAACACCACTGAAGAAGAGCTCATGGCAAACTACTGCTCACAATGCGCACAATGGAGATTCCATTGCTTTTAATGGAGACTCTATTGCTCATGTGCCTCATTTTCTGCCTTCTATTGGTGGCCTGTTAAAAGCAGTCGATCCTAATGGAGAATGTGGCCAAACACAGCACAAACCAGGACAATGTGCTGCTTTTAATGCCTCAAATCTGATGCTCTGGGATCTTTTAATGCTGTCTGTAATGGAAACCAGTAGACTTTCTGTTGTGTTTTCTCCTCAATCCTCAGCAGCTCATCAAAGAGCGAGCGGTGAATCAGCGGTGAGTTCAGTAACGCCAGTCATTTAGATGGACTGATTGATTTAGTGTGTTTAAAGCTCAGTAAAGTGTCCCTCATGCAGTGTTTGTTGTGTAAAGGTCAAAGATGAGAATCAAGTCCACTATCAAACAATCCACATGTCCATTAATCCTGCTGCCAGAGCCCATGTGAGTGGCCCAAATCAGTGATTTCTCCACATCTTCAGGCGGATTGAGTGGATTCAGCTTGATTCTGCTCTTCTGCATTGTGTTTAGGAGCAGACGGAGGATTCAGTCACTTATTCTGAGGTCACTTGTGCTGGGAAAAAGCCGGAGAAATCAGCCAGTGTGAGTAGATTCAGCACAATCAGTGTGTGTGGTGTGTGTGTGTGTGTGTGTGTGTGTGATGATGATGATGATGAGCTGAATCTGTTTCTCAGGATGATGATGGTAATGACTCAGTGACTTACGCCGCCGTCAGCAGAAGAGCTTAATGTGTGCAGAAGAAGAAAAAGAGCCTTCAGGAATAAAGATCAACACAAACAGGCAGAAATCACAGCAGCATCACTGCAGCATTTCAGGAGCACAAGTTTCCCTCAAATGCGCAGATTCAGGACTTTAGTGTGGAGAATTGGAGAGATTTAGAGCAGAACAAACACAGCTGGAATATTACTGCACTGGAAAGAGGACAAAGCAGCTGTTCTGAAGGAGAGAGAGAAAGAAAGAAAGAAAGAAAGAAAGAAAGAAAGAAAGAAAGAAAGAAAGAAAGAAAGAGAGAAAGAAAGAAAGAAAGAAAGAGAGAAAGAAAGAAAGAAAGACAGAAAGAAAGAAAGAAAGAAAGAAAGAAAGAAAGAAAGAAAGAAAGAAAGAGAGAAAGAAAGAAAGAAAGAAAGAGAGAAAGAAAGAAAGAAAGACAGAAAGAAAGAAAGAAAGAAAGAAAGAAAGAAAGAAAGAAAGAAAGAAAGAGAGAAAGAAAGAAAGAAAGACAGAAAGAAAGAAAGAAAGAAAGAAAGAAAGAAAGAAAGAAAGAAAGAAAGAAAGAGAGAAAGAAAGAAAGAAAGAAAGAGAGAAAGAAAGAAAGAAAGAAAGAAAGAAAGAAAGAAAGAAAGAAAGAAAGAAAGAAAGAAAGAGAGAGAGAAAGAAAGAAAGAGAGCAGGAAAATAGGCTGTGTTTGTGGAGGAAAGAGAAGACTGCAGTGGGAGAATTACAGCACTGTCTGTTTGTGTTACAACTTACAATCATCATCTTCATTTGTCTCTTCAACTCATTTGAGGCCCAGTTTTGTCATGTCTTGCTTTATAGAAATGTCTTTTTCATTTGGCACATGATCTCCAACATCATCTCCATGTTTCTAGACTGTATTTGAGCTCCATTCCTTCATGTTGAATCTGCTTTATTTGTGTGCAGGCAGAGATATAAAGCCCTACTTTGCTTTCTACATCACATTAAAAGTACTAAAGTGATCTGATGCTTCTGGAGCAATATTTGACTTCATGTTTGGGGGAATCAAATGTCAAACTAAGAGTCCAATAATGCTTAATTAAAGCTTAATGTGGTGTTGTTCACTTCATCTGTGGATTGAGGCTCGCTCTTTACAGTGTTTACTGTTAATTACAGGTAAAGTGTGACAGAAATGTGGGTTTCTCTGCTTGTTTAGGGACATTAAGACACATGAAGTGTTTTATAATGTCTCCTTTAAATGAGTTAAATGATTGAGCTTGGGTTTGTGTCTTGATTTCAGTTGTGTTTATTGGTTTATAGTAATATGTTGTGTGATTTGTGTTTGTGTATTGGTTATTAAGCTGGACTTCTGATATAAACACTGATGTGAAGCAAATAAATCCTCAATAAAGTGCTTCAGTGACCCTACATTACATCTCTAGATTGTCTTTCATTTCATTTCAGCGCTTTGTGCTTTTCTTTCTGATCATTATGTTGTGACTATTTGAGGGACTTTTATTTTGACACTTCCTGTAGGCCCCATATAAAGAGGAAGGCCTGTGTGATTGTGGAGGGAAACACTGTTTGGACTGGAGCACTAGCTGTGTTTGTGAGCTGTTTCTGGACATCTTTGACTCTTTCTCTTAGACTCTATTGATGGACGATTCTGTCATGGATTTGAATGGGAATATTGGGGCTTTTGATCATGTTTGGGAGGATTTTTGGACACATTCTTCATTGGTGTTTGAGTAAACTAATCTCCTCAGGCTCTTCACTGGACGTCTTGATGAAGGATTATTGATCAACTCAACTGGACAATCAGGGGCCTGTTTCAGTAAGGAGGTTGAAACAACTCAGAGTTTAAACTTGAACTCTGAGTTGATTTACTGAGAGATTAAAAACTCTGAGTTTTCGGTTTCAGAACAGCTGATCTGAGTTGGGTCAATCAACTTCAAGTAGACCAACTCAGAGTTAAGCGCACACACCGTGACTTTAAAAAGGCATTATCAATAGAGCGCAGACATTACGAGTGACTATGGCAACATCTTATAAAAGAGATCAGCATTTCTTTCTCCAGCTGAACTTGATCTGCTCATGCAAAGTTACAGCAAATATGAGTGTATATATTTGAAAAGAAGCAACCATCAGTGAAGAAGAGACAGTTAGCGTGGGAAAACAGCTGCTCAAGTTAATGCCTAATTTCACTTTTTAAGTATTTAAATATTTAAGTATAATAAAATAAGTAATGTAATTTGTGACGTTTATATATTTTTCTAAACTTTTTCACACATTTATTAGTTTTAAATGATTTAACAGTGCACTTGTGTGTCTGCCTTTTTTATTGATCAAGTGATAGAAGTTAATATAACATTTAGAAGGTAAGCAGTACTAAAAATAATTTTTAGAAAGAATAATAATCCCATTAATCTAGTTACAGTGCATGTCGAAGGTTAATTTAATTTAATTATTTATTAAAAAAGGATAAGCCATTCTAGTACAGTTCTTCTGTGTGTGACTAAAATGTAGGCAATATCTATGTTTCCATCCAAATATATTACATAAATTTATGTGCAAAACTGGAATAACGCATAAAAGATGCGAATAAAATTCCATCCAACGAGTCAAAGAGAAAAAAATCGTCACTTCCTGATTAAACTGGCACCAAATATCAACAGTAAAAGCAGAATTTACTGTGGTAGAAGAAGCTGCATCAATTAATTCTTTATTTAGCCTAATTAATGTACTTGTGCCTCGATGTCAGAAGACAATGCTGAAACACAATGAACACGTGGGGGCGTCTGAAGCCATGAGACGTGGAGACTCTTGACTCGCACCAGACGCTCGGAGGTAATTAATAATATACACTAATACTGAAACAGTTCAGGCATTTTAGAATGACTAAAACAATATTTAAGACGTGTTACGCCCTATTCACACGGGGCTTCAGCGTCAACGCTTGACAGAGGGCGTGTCTGAAGTTGGAGCTGAAACGATCGTCATAGAAGCGTCAGCCAATGAAATTCAGTCAGCAATAGGCTACTGTCTGAGCTGGTGTATTTGCATACAGCGATCTGATTGGCTGACGCTTCCGTCGGCGCTTGAAAAGTTGAGCTGGTCCCAACTTCTGCAGCGAGGAACGCTTCTGAAGCGGCGCCGACGGATCCACAATGCAGTTCGGCAACGCCTGACGTCACCCATTCAAAGTGAATGGGAAGCGTTGACGCTGACGCCCCGTGTGAATAGGGCGTTACAGTGTGCTCAGCCTGCTGGTTTGTTCATTTACACACATTTTTATTATCATATGATCATGATCTTTTTTTTAATGTACATACTGTAATTTGTTCAGTAAAAGTCTTTCCATCATAGTTTATGCGCACATTTTCTATCGAATAAAAGTTTATCCTACTCAGTTATGCGCGTTTTTTTATGCATATTTTCAAAAGTTATGTGCATCATGACGTTTCTATCAATCGTTTTTATGCACGTATCCAAAATAAGCATTAAAATAGGTGTGTGGAGACGCAAGGCTATGGTGAGAAATACCGCTTCATCTTTAAAAAAGGGGAGGAGACAGACAGAAACTCTGAGTTTAGAGAATAAAACCTGCTCCTGACCAGGTTAGATTCACAGAGTAAGTTACCACAGTAACTAGCCCCTTTCACACAGTGATACCGGTAAATATCTGGAAAATTTCCGGAACGACTTTACCGGTATATTGAAAAAAGCGCTGTTCACACAGGCGAGGACGTTACGGAAATTTTCCGGAAAAGAGCATTCACACATCCATTCCAAAATACCGGTAAATTCTGACATCATTCACCACAAATGAGCTTTAAACGGCTGCGCTTGTATTTGTAAACATTTGACTAAAATACAAACTCTGTGGATGATCAATATTGTGAACAACTTTCGCAGGATCACTTTCGCATGTCGAGATGTTCATAATATGTGCGTGCAGGCGCTCACAGGCTGTTTCACAGGCACACGCAAAGCTTGAAGGTAAACAAACAACGGCTTATCATAAGCATCTTATCGATAATTATTTACACAGTTGGCATTAAGAAGAACATATAAACATGATCTGACTAACTTCTAGCAGCTAAATGTGTCTGGAAAAATATTCAAAGGCTTTTATTCTCATAAACCGCGCGGACGTAAATGCGTCTGACTGTTGTGATTGGCTAAAGCAGACGTCTCACGTCAGCACGTTCTAGACGTGCACGCGCTTATTACGGGAATCTTCCTTCTGCATTCACACAGCGCAGCATTCCGGCAAATTGCCGGTAATGTTACAACTTCTCTTTCCGGAAAATAGCCAGAACGAATTTACCGGTATTTTCAAAAAGGACCTGTTCACACATACAACCCTTCCGGAAAATTGCCGGCAATTTTCCGGAAAGGTCTGTATGTGTGAAAGGGGCTAATGACTCTGAGTTAAAGTTACCTTTCTTTCAGAAACAGGCTTGACTTACCCTGCTTTCTCGAGTTTAACAAACCTGCCATTCTGAAACTGAAAACCCAGAGTTTCTCTCATTTCAGGTTAAAATACTCTGAGTTTTCACTTAACCTCCTTTCTGAAACAGGCCCCAGGTCAGTTCTGTTGCTTTAGTTAATGACTGTAATATATTGATGTGTGTGTGTGTGTGTGTGTGTGTGTGTGTGTGTGTGTGTGTGTGTGTGTGTTTCTCAGTCTGACCGCTAGATGTCAGTGAAGCCGCGCTGAAGTCTCGATGAGGACTGAGATTAAACAGCAAACTCAGCATTTCCTCCCTCATTTAGACAATCCTGCAGAAATAAACACATTTCAGCCTTTACTCTTGCTTTATTGTTGGACTGGTGAATTTACAGCACTTTTATACTGGTTTCACGGCTCAATTTCTGCAATATCAGAGAGTTTTTAAAGCTATCGGCCTATTGGAGACAGTGAAAGTCAGGGAATTTCAGTCATGGAGAATAGTTTATTGTTTATTTGTCAGTTTCAGTTTGCATTTAAAAGACATTTATAGCTTTATTGTTGAGCAAATCTGCTGTGTCGAGGGTATTTTCAGCTCCATTATTGATTTGATGCTCATCAACTGGCAGTCACTGGAGTCAAATGCAGACACTGAACCTGTTAACTAAGGCTAAATATTCACTAAACCAGAGTTAATGTGTGTTTACCATGCTCAGCTGTGCTAACCCCTGATTAACTGTGCTTTTACAACACCAAACATAGTTTTACCATGGTATTTGTAGTAAAACTGTGCTGATAAAATGAGTCAATGTGG